ACGCCCGGGGGCTCGGACGCGGGCACTCCCCGCAGGCCTTTGCTTCAGGCATGAATGTTAACAGCGTGAACGCTGCAGCCCCGCCAGCCGGCCACACCTTCCCTCCGCTTCGGAGTAACTCCCTGTAACCTCAGTAAGTTCTGATAGTAAAGCGAGTTCTCGCGAGACTTGGCTCTCTCATGCAGGCGGCGGGGGCGGGGAAGTAAAGAGGTTGGGTGTCGGTCACGCGACCCAGTGGGGGATGACGTCACTTGCTTCTCGGGAGCACCTCTTGCCCGTTTCGCTTTGCAAAGCGTCCGGGGGAAGGAGAGGAAAAAGCAAGGTCCAGTGTGCTTTGCTTGTTTGCGCTAAGGTCTGAACCAAGTGGTATCCATGTGTAGGATCTGAATAAATGGATATTTGAAAAGCTGCTTAGCTGTTTAGTAGCGCATCCCCCTGTATTTTCAGATCTGTCGTGTTATAGCATATACGAGAATAAACAGTTATGTATTACATTTTCAAATAAATGCACTTGTGGGTGATTGCTAAAACAACACTTGGCCCTTCCTTCCCTCCCTGTTTCTTTAATATAAAGTATGTGCTTGCAGATTTAGGGACAGATCACAGTGCAAAATTTATGAGTATTTTTTAATTGATGTCTTTTATTCTTCAACACAGACGATAAGGATTTAGCAAATATTTTGCTAGTTTGCTCCTTAGCATTCATCATGGCCACAAAATTTTACCTCTGGAAATAATTCAAAAGCTAACTTGCTCCCTGGGGGCTGTTATTAATTAATTACCTTGCCCACGGTCACACAAAATATTTAGGCTCTCTAATGTCCTCACCTGGCAATGCAATTCTACCAATAATTTAATGTCTGTCTTACAAATGACTCAAAATGTTCATAATTTTGATGCTTCTTAAAACAAAATTGAAATATTTTGTTTGAAATATACATGTTTTTGTTTCCAAGTCATAAAAAACCCTTATAACATTGTGTTAGATAAGATACCAAAAAAGAAACCTACAATTGCAAAGAAGAAAAAATAATATATATATAAATACAAATATTAGGCTATGAATTTGGGATACATTTTTTATCTGGGCTAATTACTTTAATACATGTTTCTGTTAGTCCGGGTCAACTAGAGAAACAAATTCATAGACACTCAAAAGTGTGTAAGAAAGAGATTTATAGACAAGAGCAATTGAATATTGAGAAAGCATTACCAATCTATAAAGTCCTTCAGACTCACGAAACACATGCAATAATGCCAAATGCAGAAAGATCTGAGGCCAGTAGGTGTGAAGTCTTGTGAATCCAGTGGCATTGTAAGCCTCTCAGCCCTGGCAGGGGTATCCA